TGAGTGCTTCCTTGGGCTGACACAACAGGCCTTGGGGCTTAACCAAGAGAAATTTCTTTTCTCACAGTCCTGGAGGCCAGAAGTCCAAGATCAAGGTGTCGCAGGGCTGTTTCTCCTGAGGCCTCTCTCCTGGGATTGCAGACAGCAGCCTTCTCCGTGTCTCCACACGGTCTTCCCTCTGTGTGTGTCTGTGTCTAAACTTCCTCTTCTGATCAGTACGCTAGTCCTGTTGGATTTGGAACCCCCCACCCTCCATGACCTCATTTTAACTTAATCACCTCTTTAAAGGCCCTGTCTCCAAATCCTGTCACATTCTGAGGTACTGGGGGTGAAGATTTCAGTATATGAACCTGGGGGGACACAATTCAGCCCAGGGCAATGTCTGTTTAAAATAACGGGCAGCAGCTGCCTTTGCACGTTGGCAGAGAGTGAATCTGTCTCAGGTTGGGTCCCTCCTGGGGTCTCCAGGGAGCCAGCAGGACAAAGTTCTTCATCATAACAGGAGAGGAAGGAGGGACTCAGGGGGGAGACAGAGGAATTTCCAGATGACTCTCAGAGGTCAGACCTCCCCACAGACCCCAGCTGATGAGAGAGTCTCTGTGGTGAGGGATGGTTGACAAATTCCTAAAGATTGCACTGCCTGACTCTGACTGTCAGCCTGTTTTGCACTCTGTGCTGGAATTGCTCTCTGCTGTCTCCAGAACGTCAGCAAACTCTGTTATCCAAATTAAGTCTCCACTGCAAGGCCTTGGGATAAGGGAGAGGTAAGGTGCCTACAGCTGGGATGGAGGGCAGCCACTGGGGCCAAGAGCAAGGAGGACCAATGTGTGGACACAAACCCTACAAAAATCCACAGGAACTGGGGGGAGGACATGCCAGGCCGGTGGGTTGGGACTGGAGTTACCCAGACAGGACAGAAGTGACAGGAGGACTGGGGGCCTCCGGCAGATCTACTTAGGCAGAAGGGACCTACACTGACCTAGAGGGGTGGGCATCAAGGAAGGCTTCCTAGAGGAGGTGGAGACTAGGGTGGGTCTTTAAGTGTGAGTCAGAGATTGCCAGAGGAGGGCAAGGGCATCCCAAGCACAGAATCCTGCGGGGACATGAGCCCGGTGTCTCTGCCAACCCTGGGTCACGTCTTGCTGAGCGGGCCCCTGTGTGCCAGGCCCGCACTAAGCTCTTCCCACAGGTAATGGAACCCGGTATCCATGTGGGTGGCCATCTGGCTACAGCCGGTGTGAGGCGGGCAAGGTAAAGAGGGGCAGGAGAGAGTGTAGCGGGTGCTGGTCAGGCCAAGAGGGCCTGGAGTGCTCGGTGGCATAAAGGACTTTATGCCAATGGAGGTAGGGAGAGAGGAGGGCAGGAGAGGCTTTGAGCAGGGGAGGGTCAAGTGAGATGGCCTGGGAGGGAAGTGTCTGGTGGCATTTGAGGAGTCCCCTGTGGCCAGCGTAGGGGTAGACACGGAGTGGAGAACAGGACCATGGAACTCAGAGCGAGGCAGCTGAGAGGTCACAGAGGGCCACTGCAGGCCCAGTGGTTGGTGTGACCATCCGTTGGCATCTTGATGAAAGACTGGCCTATTCCAGGGAGGACTCCATGGTGGCTTTCCAAGAACTGCTGTTTCTCTTTCTTCTTCAGCTTCTCCTGGGGCAGGAGGGGAGGGACCTTTGGACCAATCAAGCGCTGCTGTAACTCGTGCTGTCCAGGGCAGCCGGGGACAGGAACAGGACACTAGTGGATCAAAGTACCTCCCTGTGCCAGGCCTGTGCCAAGTGCTTCACACACCCACGCACGTGGTCCCCCAACCATCCCAGGAGGCAGCTGTTGTTATTCCCATTTTACAGAGGAGGAAACTGATGCTCAGGGAGGAAGGAGGACTTGCCCAAGGCCTCTAGGCTGGGAAGGCCTTGAGTCTAGTTCTTCCTATTGGAAAAGCTCATCTCCCAAGAAGCTCCCCTTGGCTCCAGCTGGGCTGCCTCAGTTTCTAAGAAGTAGGGGGTGAGCCTCTAGGAGGGTAGAGGGGCTACGTGGGTAAGAGGGTGCCTGGCCTGGCTCAGCTGCCAGGGATGGATGGAGAGCTGGGCCGGGGAAAGGCCCACATCCCCGCTGTGCCCAGTTCCGTCCACTGCCCACCCCTCCTGGCACCAATTCTGGGCCTGTGTCTCTGCAGACATGAAAGAAGAAGCAATGCCCCACTTGGAGCTAAAACCCCACAAACCTGCAAGCCGCTCCTGTTGTCCCTGCCTGATGCCCAAAGCCAAGAGCCTGCCCTCCTGGTTCCAGGGACTTCCTCTCTCCTCATGGCTGCCAGAGGCCTGCCTTCACCTCTGACTCCCCTCTGAGCCTGTGAACTCCTCTGAGAATATGGGGCAGTCATGCCCCCTTGATGGGTGGATATGAGAGGAAAGTGAGGCCATGTTTATAGAGAGCCCAGGTCCCTGATGCCAGCTCTGGGCACAGTTGCGGGGAACGCTGTGGTCTTTGCTTGTTGGCTCTGGCCAGCCCACCATGGAGGGAGGTGGGAAGCTGGGCTTTGGATCCCGCTCTCTGGGTAACACTTGGCCATAGGTTTCTCTGAACTCCAGCTTGTTACCTGTGTCTCTTTGGACTGGAGATTTGGGGACTGGGTGTCACCAGAGGCAAAGTTTATTTCTGACATTGGGGCAGGGTGTGGTGAGGAGCAAGATGGTAAAAGGCCCCTTTCCCTTCAGCTGCCTTCTCTACGAGTTGCGCTTTTCCTCACAAATTGCCCTGGAACGATCTCAATAATGTGCTACTTTGAAGAGTGTGCCTGGAGGGAAGCGGGGACTCTGTCCCCA